TTATTTTAGTACCATTGATTTTATAATATACAAAGTGTATTTTATTAACGCTAATATCTTACAACTGTTTTTCTTTGGTTTATTCTGATTACATTGTCAATATTAAAGTATTTCACTCTCCTTCATGTATACTCTTGACTTATCGTTTAAATTATGACATTAATATTTTCTATTTGAGCAGGAAAATTACATTTTAAATTAAATTGTATTTTTTTAATAATAAATAAAGCTTTTAGTGTATTTTATTTTTATTTTTATTATTATCTCCGGATGGGACTGTTATTCCCCTTGTAAATTGTTGTACTTATTTTTTATGAAATTGAGAAGTCCAAATGAATTCTAAAATTATACAAAAGGTTTATTCGTGAAATATAAATGCTGGCATGCCTAACCGGTTACGTCCTACTTGATTTCTACACGGGCTTTATTTTATTCATCCGGTCCAACTTCACAGCAGTTCACCGAGTCCACGTCTTGTGCAATCTATATTTTATCTTTGGGTTCATACAATGTTTCGGCTGTAATTTTGATGCACTGCCCGTTTTAGTTCATTCGGCGTGTCGTTTTAGCGTCGAGTGGTTTCAATGGCTGTCGTTTGTCGTTTGTTATTTTTTGATTTCACTCCGGCACAGACCCACGATGATAATATGGTCCACGGCTGGTAAAATCGAATAATCAAACAACTTTGATCCCGCATGAAAAAGGGGTGAGTTCAAACGGACCGTGCAAGACTACTTGGACCGAATAAAACGATTATGAGGCCATCAGCGCCGCTCGTCTGGGCGGTGTATGTATGTGTTGGTTTTTTTAAATATTTTTTTTTTATTCGCCCCGAAAGATTCAAATTACAATATATATATTTTTAAATTGATTTCCCTCTCGCGACCAAATCGCAACCCGTCCGTGAAATTCGAATTCGCCGCCCACAGAGAAGTACAGAGGCATAGGGGGGGGGGGGCAAAAATAATATTACGCAAGGGTCGTACCTATATATTATGACGTGTACATCCGTGTCTAAGTGCACAGGCGATGAGCCAATTAACCGCGGACGACACACATCAAAAGGTCTCCGGGTACCGCCGTTCGGCAAAAGGCTTGTGCTGGCTGAATATATTATTATTATTTTGTATATTGTTTTTTTTTTTATATTGTCTTATGGATTATGACCACCGTACCAGATGGCGGTTTGAAACAGATTTGCGGGCTGCACGATTGTACATACATAATATACATATTATTATTATATAAATATTATTATTGTCAAAAGCGAGTTGGCCGCAGGTGGTCGTTCAACTCTTTTATTGTTTACATTGAACGGGAACCAACTAAAACTATGGTTAACACAGAGGGACATAATATAAATTTCTAGTTATGAAATAACAAGCTGAGTGTTTAGCTTGACATGTATAGCTGTTGTTGGTCCGACTAATTTAACATTTGTTGTTTTTGTTTTTAGGTTCGCTGAAAACGACCTATACACTTGCCCGTAAGTATACTTAAATAGTTTTTGAATTTTTTAAAACATTTATACATTAAAAAATAATAAACAAGAACAAAAAATGAGGATCACCTCAAAAATAAATTAACTCAGATATTAATATATTACCGTCGTAGTTCGTACGGAATGGATTTAATTAAATAGGTATATAATATAAGATTGTATAAATAATAATTGACTTTTAGTAGAATAATATTTGGATACGGTTGTTAAATAATTTTAGTAACAATAAACAATAATGATTATTGTTTGGAAATACATACAAGTATAATTAAAATATAACTATTCGAAAACTTCTATTTTGGAATTGTAATTTTCCAACACTTCATTGGTACACCGAAGGAGAATACAATTATTAAATAATTCTCCTTTGCTCTCATTATAGTTTTTCTTGAAATTGTACAAAGTTGTCATGATTTTACTGTAATTTATCGAAACTCTAATAATGTAAAATTAAAGTAAATATAGATTTTAATACTTTATTTTGATTAACGCTAAAATTGATTGTTTTACTATTATTTAAATTTGACTAATTTTTTAACTATTTGAAAAATTTAATATTGTATTATATTAAGCATGCTTTTTATTTGATGAACATACAATAATAATAATAAATAATTAAAAGAACATAGCATATACATAGCCAATAATAATGTAGATACTTAATTTATAGTAAGTAATGATAAAACTACTTCGGGGATAGCATTTTGCAGTGAAGTAATTCACATTTAAATCCATATTACCGCCTTATTACTAATTATTATCTTTATTCTAATATTAAAATTTTAGTTTTATATTAAGAGGCGTAGTTTTTCGTGGAAGGCTTGCAAGTCGATTCGTTTCTCGGTAGTTTTACAATGCGAGTGATTATATTATTATACCCAGTATAGCGATCGCGTGTAAATGAAGTTTTTAAAAAGAAGTTTTTGAGCAAAACACATTTTTTCCCAGAACACGAAACGCTTAGGAACAACAAGTAATAATTAATCGCCGCCAAACTGATTATAGATATGAAAACATAAATAAACTTCCGGTTGTTTGTCCACGTTAATTATTTACAAATACATGTTTTAAACTTACTCGAACGAGCTTCTTCGAAATCCAGTAACAGCGACAAACGGTGGCAAGATCTTAAAGGAAAAAAAAAAGGACTATGCCATTTTTCTACCAAAATCAATAAAACATTGTCTTAAATTTGTGCGTTGCTTTAACAAGGATTTTACTACTTAAATAATTATAAACTAGCATTAATGGAAGGTGCTCTGGATTTAGCCCTGGCCAATCCTGATGGGAATTTTTTTTTAATCAATAAATAACATTGTACGGGTACTCGCGTGACGTGTAGGACGCGAAACGTACCGTGTGGGACGTTTTTTATTGGGTAAAAAAAAAATGCCCATTTAGATAATATTATAATATAGGTACGGTAAACTTGATATATATTTTTCGAGGATAACCCGAGGTCCAAGCGATTATGCCGTATAAATCAAAACGGCTTTGTACATTATAATATAAACTGTAAAACGATGAAATACCAGAAAAAAAGGCGGAAAACGTTAATTTCCCATATAGCTTAGTCGATTCGTTTGTCGCGTTTGATTTATTCGACAAGTAAATTATTACCGATCGATTTTCAAGTATGAATTTATGAGCGACGAGGTGATTTGAATATAAGTACAAGTCCATTAAACGCCCCATGCACGTTGATGTAAAATATGCTTGTATACCTAACGGTTTAATATCACGGATTAAAAAATATGTATAAAACCAGATAGTACACTTGTAGTAAAAACAATAGACTTTCAAATCACCAATTTCGATTGATCGAATTATATAGTGTCGAAAATATTGTTAATGAACTAGATTGTTAATTAGTGATAAGAATTGAAGTCGACGTCGGCCATTTTTGTGGGATTTATGTGTGTATCTGTGATTCTGTGCTATCAAATTATAACTTGCAATATTGTTACCTATAAACATATTTTCATGCGATAAGGTTCTAATTTCCACAAATGTGGCGGAAAATGGTAACTTCAATTATCTCAATTGGCGGCATGTACTCTATAATTAGCAATATAATTTATTATATACATATATATATATATATATATATCTGTGATTAACGATGATCGATGGTGATAACATTACAGACGTTTGATACAATTTCTCAAACCACGCTGTAGGTATGTAATGGAAGAATTACTTTTTTCCTTTATTCGGTCGCACATCGACTTGAGATTTTTACTAAGTTTATTAACATTTTTTTTTTTAGAGAGTGCATAGATATAATATCTTCGGTTTCGGACGGACAACGTGCCTAACCGTTTTTGCTTGTGCTCCCCCCCCCTCGGTTTGAGGGGATGAAAAAACCAACACACAAAAAAAAACGCGTCAACGGTGGTGATACAAACGGCGGCGGTGAAGGGCATTGTGTCGCGGAGCCATATTGAGCTTTTGCGACCAAAGGGGATGGTAAACCAAAAAGAGGGCAGGGGGTGAGGGTGGGTATAAGGGTTTGGCGCCGATCAATGCGCTCCGGGCGCAAACTCTGGCCGTCAACCACCCCCTTGGCAACCGCTGTGTCGCAGGCATTTCCATCACACCTCTCGGACCGCGTGTAATAAAATCTGCCGGCTAAACAGATACGGTAAAAAAGATAAGGAAAAAAAAAAGGGGGTCTCGACCGATTTTATTAAAGAAAGTGCAAACGCCCCGGGGTCCGACTACGAGAAAAAAAAAGTTCACACGCCTTCGACCGACCTGTGGGGCGCACACATCAAACCCTTTGCGGTGCAAGACGATTCAAGTTTTTGAGGAAATTGAAACTGATTAGAGCCGGTTAAAAGCTTTAGCTACTTAATCGAATCTCAAGCAGTCACCAACATTTACCAGGTTATGGCGATTTAACAAAAGGGTTGGCCACGCATAGTTTTTGTGACAGTTTACCGTTTTAAACCAAATGTTTTATCAGCTTTAATGAGACGATAAAACCTGTTAAGAACTATTACTTGGAAACACAGTTTTGATTTTTTATGCTGGTCTATAAAAAGCATCCAACTGCGGCACGGTATCTAAAAATGTGGCGGTATTATTATTTTTTAACCGCAAAAATTAAGAAATTCAATGCCGACACAAAAATGTATTATCGAGGTGTTGCGTTGGTCGGGTTACGGTAACCTGTAGCCTTCACTAAAAAAAAAACCCAAACTTTTATAATTGTCGCTGTCTTGCACTTGGAGTGCGACATACACGGTCCCAGTTTTTATGCGATTGATCTGTTTGAAAACTAGTATTTGCATCAAGATGTATTAAATTATTATTTGGCCAAAAAACAAGGTTTTCAAACGTTTCTATCATGTCCACTTGGTGTTTCGGGTTCTATTTAAAAGAGTGTCTTACATTGGAATTTAACTTAAACTGACTATATAAGACCGAAGAAAACAATGTTTTTTTCGCAATAAAACCAATTTTTTTTTTTTGTTTTTCATCTCGGGTGAATCTTTTATTTCTTCTTCTTTTTGTCTTTGTGGGCCTGCGCTTCCGCCGTTAATTTCAACGACCTCCTGATGGCCAAGGGCACGTTGGACCTGTACCAGTTGTGATAGAGGTCGGCGAGCGGCGGCACTTCTTTGGGGTTGTTCAGCATGACCGACAGGAACTCTTTGGCGTCCAGCGGCGAATGTTTCAGCGTCAACACCCTCTCGGTGGTCAACACTTGGGCGACCATGTCGGCGATCGTGTCAAGGGGGTAGCCCATCATAAGGGTGGCCAAAGCCGTCACCGGGAAGTCCCGGCTCACGGCGGGGTAGGACATCAACAAGCCCAACAGGTGCATAAACGTCGTGCCGTAGTCGGCCACGGTGAACAGTATTTGGTTGAAAGCCGACACCTATTGGCAAACGAAATGGTCATTTATTGGAAACCGCGTGCGTTTGGATTTGAATGTTTGGAAAACCCGGCCGTATCGACCTACACCAGGAAGAGTGTTTTATGTACGCTGTGGTTTGTGTATCATCATATCCCCTTTGCGGTCGCTGCTATAGGCCATACGGTTCATTGGTATTCATCGCGTGCTCGGCCGACAAATCATATTTTGCACCGCACAAAGGCATTTGCGCGTCAAAAAGGGGAAAGCAATTTCGGAATCTTTAAAAAAAAAAAAAAAATCTTCGAATCGGCTCTTATACATTATGCATGTATGCTCGAACGTGCTGTATCTATCTGTACATATATTATATATATACACGACGGCAAACGATACAAATCAAATTCCGTTTTGAATTGAAAATCCGGTTCAACAATAAGACCCTGACTGTTTGCCGAACGTTTTTTTAAACGTCGCTTATGCGCCATTTCTGTGTGACGCATAAACCTTGACACGCGCGCGCCGTGACTGTATAATATCCACGGGGACGTGATTTTCTGCACCTAATATAATACAATATGTTGCAAACTCAACAGCTCTACGGTATATTGATACTGGTTCGACTAACCGTAGGCTGTAAGACTTTTGGTTAACGTTCTGCCGTTCTGTGATTCCTAAAATATGTATTTAATTATCGACACGGTCTGTCCAAAACGGCCAGAAAACATAATAAATATATGTATAAAAAAAAAAAGGACTCTTAACAAATCTCCCGTTTAATCATAGTAATTATAATGGGCGAGCTTTTTCAGGTAATGCAGTTGTGTGTGTGTGTGTTGGGATCATAATATAATATTTAACCGACGGTCGAGACAATGGACTATCCGCCACAGCCGCCAATATATATATATATATATATATATATATATAATACTTGTGTGTAGATGGGACGAAGAGATTTTTCGTGTCATAGGTATGCGGTTAATGAATGAAATAATTATATGGTCCACACGTTATCGTATACACCATTATATTATATTATTATTATGTAGTGTAACGAGAACGTCGGGTTTTACAGGTTTCGAGTATTATTATTATACATTATTTTTTTATATATATTTTTTTTTTATCCGTCCGCCACCCCCAGCGCCTCCTTTGCATGACTATTATACCGGCCGCGTTTTGTGGCGATACTACCGCGCATATCTTTGGTAAAAATCTCCCCGGATACGTCTTGTATAAACCGTGTACGAACACCACCGAGACGTTTTCCCTATAGGAGGTGGTGTACATAGGAAAAGCATAGGAATCGATAAACGATAGAGAGACGATTATAACGCGCGTACGAGAATGGAAAAAAAACGTCTTAGATGCTTGTCGCGCGGCTCTTGTATGTAATAACACAAGCGTTGGACCGGCCGAGTCAAGTGAATTATCGATGGGCGGATACCCCACACGGCCGTCGATTTGTGTTGCGGTGTCAGCCACTTGCCCGCACGGCGATGGAACACGTGCGATTACCGAAACGCATTCAAAGCTTATGTATTGATCGTTTTGTGGCGTGTGTGTCTAATAATACAATATAACAGTGCAAAACACTATTCGAACTCGACCGAGATGGAAATAAAACTTTATACAAACAATCGAGATTTGCTTAAAGTCACGTCACGTCACGCCACAGCACGTCATGTCATGTCACGTCACGTCACGTCAGAGACAAGGGAAATTAAAAATGGATGACAATTTCATTTACTGTGCGATGTACTAGCTGCGTTTTAACGGACTCCGGTATTCCAATTTGAGTACATACTTGATACTTACATTGTGGTATATTATAGTAGACCAATGAGGTTTACCAACAGTGAAAACTTGTATAGTACGCGATACGTACTAGCTTGGCTCCGGCACATAACCACGGACTGACCGCGTTGCCCACGACCAAAATCCTGTCGGTTTTCACAAACGTCTTTACCAGTTTGCCCAGTAAGTTTGCCACCAATTTCGGATTGAACTGCTTGAGTTCTTTCGACATTTTCTTGTAAAACGGCACGTCCGCCATTTCCACTACTATTACGACCGGCTGATATTCTTTGGCCAGCTGCGTGAAAAATGTATAAACGATTGGTTAAACAGAGTTTTCGAAAATACATAATCTATGGCGCTATGGTGGAAAGTGACTGATGTTGAAATTATTTTGTACAAAACTGATAAAAATTGGCCACAAATCAACTTTAACCACAACGTCAAAAAAAAAAACTATTATATTTCCAAATACACAACTTTTGATACGATGCCGGCCAGTCTTACGATGTCTTTTTTGCTGGGATAATTGTCCGACACGTTCATGTAGTTTAATTGAATTTTTAGCGAACCGGTAGTCCAACAAATGGCGTCCGTCAACATGGTCTTGCCTGACTTGTCCGGACCGGCTACCATCAGGGTAGACGCAAATTTCACACTTTTCATATTCCTGAGTTCCGGACACGTCAGTCCGAATACACATAACTCCTTGAGCATCTATGCGAAACGAAAAAGTGTAAAAAGACAACCAACACTGCTAATTGAACCACTCACTTGGGGAACGTCGCCAACGCAATAAGGAGGATCTTTGAAGTATGGTTCTATTCGCAATCTGCTGGCGCTGTACGAGGTCTCGCCTTTGAAATCTTCGAAATTTGCCGCAACCGACTTTTGTATCATATTGCTCCGGACTAGTTCTTCGAATATTTCTTCGGGCTCGGGATACTTACTTTTCTTAGTTCGAACTTTAGCTGCCTTCTTGGCCTTTACTTTGGGCGTCTTGTACTTCTTACCTGTGAAAAATATCAACACTCTTTGTTACTTTATATAGCACACTCTATTGTGTTATGAACAACACCTCTGTCTTTGGCGAACAACACTTTGAGATTTTCCAACTCTTTAACCACGGTTTCGTCCACTTCAGCTCTAAGCCGGACTTTGGCGTCAGCGTATACGTTATCAGTAATCAAGTCTTGCCTGTGCCCTCCGTCAGGTTCACCGTCAAACATACTCCAGTTGCCGCTGTACTCGTCGAGTGCTTCTTTAAACCATTCCATAAACTCACTTGGCTCCGGGACAAAACCCAATGACCTCGTTTCTTGTCTCGCTTTCTCTGCGTTCTTCTGCTCTGCAATGATTTGATCTTTTTCCTAGAAATTTAGATCATTTTAGAGCTCATCAACATCATCGCCGTTGACCATGTGCCGTTACGATTTTTTGCCTTTTGGCCTGTTCTTTCAGCAACTTTGCCTTTTCCCTGGCTGGCTTTTCCTCGAGTTCTACGATGATGACCGCCAATATCTTAGCCATTTCCACCGTCATCCATCGACCGGTAAGAAAAACGGCCGACCCTCCTAGTGGTACCCGCTGATTCAGAGCCGAGCGGTAATGCATCTTTGGTATGTTCAGCTGTCTCAATATGGTGTCCGTTAACACTGCCGAACAACGAAATATAACCAAAAAAAAAAAACGTTAACTGGATTAATTCAAACCGATAGGCGGCAATCCGAGAATGGCATCGTTGGTGAACATGACCGGTGTCGGATCCGGCCACGAGGGTAAGTGGACGCAGGTCTCGAAGTAGTTCCAAATGTAAGCTCTAAGTTCATCTGCGATCTCGTCGATGATGTCTTCTTTGTTATATTTGTCCAGCCTGGCTTGTGCCGCTTTCACCGCAGTCCAAAATTTGTCGGCCGCTTTGGTCTGCATCGTCCACAGAGTGTCTTCTTTTACCATTCTAGTATCTTCTTCTTGTGCACCGGTCGACGTGGGGGGCTTTTTACTGGCCATGTGCCAACCTGTTGGCAAAACACTAATAATTATAACGCTTCAATTGACGACGAATTCGATATTTCGCTTACCGATCAACAATTTTTTCTGATTATTTTTGATTTTCATTCGTTTTTTCATCTGGTAATTTCTCCAAAAGCGTTGGACCTTGATGGCGGCGCTCAGAGCAATTTCCCTTTTAGGCGGCACGTATTCACCCGACAGGATTCTCTGTCGGCTCCTTTGCAGAGCTAATACTGTAGGTGAAAAAAAAGGTTAGGTTTGTGCAGTGTAGCGTTTCACACAGTTGACTCACGTTCATTGGCATAGATCCGGTCTCGGGACGCCCTTATGTGCTTCTGTATTAACAGAACGCCCCTGTCTCTTGCCAAGTCTTCCTCTGTGATTTTCCGGAACCTGACCGGCGGTACTTCTTCGATTGACTTGAATGTGGTCACGTCGAAGTCCGATCCCGACGAGTGGTGCCTAATCAATGGTTCCGACCAAGTCTCTTCCGCCTCCCTCGCGTTCTCTTCCATTTCGCCAATCAGTTCGCTAGCGTTTTCCTTTTCCATTCGTTTGTAGATTTCATCGACCTTATCGTCCAGCCCTTCCAGCAGTGTCCTTCTGTCGTCTAAGAAACACCGAGGTATTCTCAACTCGAATCGATCATACGGCACCCGCAGCTTGGCCAACGTCTCGTCCACCGGTCTGTCAATCAATAAACGTTAACATAAGCGCACAGCATTCCTGTTCCCGGATCTTAACCAGTAATTTAGCTCCTCAACGTATACCGTACGTGTATATCGACTTGTCTTCGTCGATTAAAGTCTGTTTTAGTTCGACCAAACGTCCAAAAGTGGGCAACAAAAGCTTTTTGATCAGCGTCCGTACTTGTGGTTGAATAATCGAATCGTGGTGTGCGGTCAGCTCGTTGGCGACCAACGAATATCTGTACAGACAGTTACAGCCAGTAATAGTGTAAACTTTTATGGTCTAAATACTATATATACAACCGACAATATGTTATATTGATATTTAGTATATGGTAATGTAGTCCAGATTAATTTTTTGACACTAAAACAAATCTCAAATCGATTACAGCCAAGCGAATTTAGATACATTCGCGTTTGGCTTCAGACAGAAAGTTTGACGTTGCGTCTTTAAGCAGATACAAAATCCAGTCTGGGTTTTTTTTAACGGTAAAAAAAACTTGCTAAACTCCTCGCTATGTACCTGACGTACAAATCGGTTAGAGCCGACCGTGCTACGTTTCTGTCAACGTACAAACCGACCGCAACGAATTCCTGGTCGTCTCTCTTCAGGTTAATTAATTTTTCCACCGCACTCTTCCATCCGTCGCTGCCGTATACGACCATGTGGACCAAAGGTGTTTTTAATTTTTTTTTTAAAGTCTATACGAATCAAAATTCAAATAAAAACCGAAAAATCAACGACCAACGGGCGACACGTGGGCACCAGTTATACACACCGTCGCCATGGCGACCGACCGCGGTAAAGCTGTGCACACCGCAAACGAGAGAGATACCAATTTATTGATGATGCGCTCCCCACTGCACGCCGGACAGTGGTCGACTTGACTGTGTCCTATAGGTGGCAAACATTAACCAGTATGGCTGCCTCGTGTCTGGCCGGTTGACAACCCCAGAGATCCATAGATCAACTCACACGATAATCGTTTATAATACCTACAGTAACTATCAGTACACCGTACAGCCTCTGGGGATCCGCCTTCCATCTTTCACACACATAACAACGCTACTATCGTTTGTGCTTGGAAGCCATCGGCCATCTTATGCGATTTTAGTTTGTTGATTTTTAAAAAAATCCAGCAAGAATGGAAATTGGAATTAAAAAAAAAAATGCGATGTTGATAACTTCAGATCTCTGAACCGATAAACGGATTTTGTCATCTAGGGTCTTATTACAATCACCATGGCAGTTAAAAGTGCAGTGAAGAGTTTCAGAACTTTATCTGATATAGTTCATTCACTACAAAGCTTTTAAAAATATTCATACTTTATGAATTAGTTGCTTAATAGTAAAATATATTTTCCTGACTTGGCAAGCGTTTTTTCATACATAGCTGTTAGGAATGCGACTTAAAATGTTTTGTTATATTAAAAATAAATAATTTAGCCATTTTAAAGAGTTGTAAATGCTAAAAATGAATAGAACGTTGTCAATAAAAGTGAATAAGACCCCATTCGTATAAAAAGCTGTAAAGTCAATGTACTGTATCCTAGTAAAAAATATTCAATCAAAGGTAATTTTGAAAATTATACAATTATTTTCAAAATTACCTTTGAGTAATATATTACTAATTTTATTTGTACTCCTTAATTGTACCGGCAAATGGGATAGGTTATGGAAAGTTTCCGTTATGTTCTCGTAATCAAATATGAAGCCAATTATTAAACTACTCTGCATAATGTCGAAGTCTATACTTGAGAAGTACTGTCACGGGCATCGGCCAAAGTCATGTTCAGGTTAACATAAATAACTCATAATCATAAACATGTACTATTATTATTATTGTATTTCGTATGGCTGTGAGTAGATAAATTAAAATTAAGACAGAACCCGTTTAATCCGACCATTAACCATTAATCAAACCACAAATTAATTTTAACTCTTTTATGTTGCAAAGTTTACATCCAAAAAAAGTCTTAATCATATTGTATACCCACAAAACTATTTACAACTTGTAAAAATATCGTATATGTTCATTGCGTTTGGTTTTTGGTGCTGTACACTGATAAAACTCATAATAAAAAATTTACACAAGCTATCCAAACTGTATTTTTTGTATACACAACCGACAAGGTGCTCAATAACACAACATTATGATATACTTAATAGGACATAATCAAAAACAAAATTAGAATAATGAATATCGAATTCTTCAATAACGGTGTACGGTTCAAGTAGGTACACAAAAGTGCTCATCGCTCAGACGCATCACAGTTACAGTAATTTTTTCTATGAAATAATTATTTTAGCTAAACAAGTTTCAAATTAAATTCTTATTATTATTAATATTTAATGATCAAACATTATTATAATATAATTTTGCAGGGTAATATCGAGGAGTGACTCCAAACCGGGTTTGGATAAATATTTCTCAAGTTTTTAGCATTCAAAGCTAAAAACTAGGGGTGAGACATAGGTGTACGCAATGGTAATTGTGTATCCAAGTGATTTAAAAATGCTAATCACCCAAAAAGTATTTATTCGAAACCAGTAATCGTCCGCAGTCATTATTTTCATTAAAGCACTCTGCTTTTGATACCCTGGCTACACTTTATCATAATATTTGTTTATACTAAATATAGTTTTCTATCGTTAATTATAATTATGACTTTATTGGAAACTTTTTTAGCTTACATAATTATTTTAAAAAAATAATTTCAAATTTAGATAACCCTATGCTGTATTATATTGTATTATATTATGAACCACGTCTCGTGCAATGCATCAAGTACAATATCATGGTCGCGCTGTATGATATTATGTGCGAGGGTGCTTGGAAATGTCTTGGAAAACAATAACACGGCCCGGGGGTACCACCAATCATTACTATACTTAGGGGCAGGGGAGGGGCGCACTAATGCAAATTCGCAGTTTCCCGTTTTGGCCGGCGACGAGGGGAGGGCGACAGCGACCGGTTAGTGAAACATTTCTCACAGCAGCCGCCTTCGTTTGCGAACAGGTGACAGAGTTTCCCATGCTCGAGGGTATGCAAGTATGAAGTAACCATCCGTCGAGGGAGGGATCCATTATGGCAAGCACACGGCTCCATTTCAATCACCCCCCCCCCCTCGACAGTAGAGCTGTAAACACCATAATATTTTCTATAATATCTTTAATCCATTTTCAAACTTGCGCATTGTAAATTGTGTGTTGTTCTGAAGAAGCCAATAATTGCCATATTTTGTCCATAAATCAAGTCTCGTTTTGTAAATAATTATCTGGCTTAAAACCCCCCAAAAAGAACTCTAATTTAGCACTAAGTTCAGACGACCTAAAGTCAGGAAAACTTTAATAATAATAACAAGGATAATAAAATAGTATTATAATTTATTGTTACATAATATCATATACTCAATGATAATATTTAGACAGACATTTCAAAGCTAAACTACTCAAGTCTTTCCCAACGCGATTATAAGTATTGTACACAATAAATAAGATGCATGTTTAGTTGTTATATTTTCTTTTACAATGTTTAGAGTCTAATATAATGTAAACTGTACAGCTAATATAGTTTCTACAACGAAAACGTGAATATTATTAACAGCATAAATAAAGTCAAAAAATATAAAATGAGTTCTCAACCAAATTGTAAACGGTCTTTTATGAAAGGATCAAATAATTAAAAACAATTTGTCATAATAACTAACTCATACTACGTATAATAACATCATGGTAACATTTTTAGTGTCAACTATTTCACATTTAATTATATTTACAGCACTACTTGATTGATTTGGACGTTGGTCTGATACATCTTATCAGATAGGCAGGTATATGTCATGATTTTTATTTCAATCGTCGGCGATAATAATTATATTTTTATTCGAAGCTGTCGTTAGATTGAATGCCGAGATAATATTGTTTTCAAGAAGAATATTATTATACGTTGTCGAATTTAATTAAGTCAAACACGCCCATTGCGTGTTGTTATTATAATAATATGTACCTATACATATTTTAATATCAAAAAAACACTTACTTATCAAATAACTCAATCAAATCAAACATAAGGAGCTGTTCTTAGCAATTATATACTCTTGATACAAACTCTCGACAGTAAAAGTAAAATTACAAATATGTACAACTTATTCAATTTTTTTTTAAATTAGCATAATATAATGCTAATTTTCAAATATATGCTACTGCGGGTTCGTTGAAATCGACGTTCATTAAAACTATTAAGATGTCAAAAACATACTCGCGTGCATTACCCAAAGAAAGTGAATAATATTATGGATTTTGTCTAATTAGTGTGTTATTCATTTAACTTTATATTTCCTAAAATGGTGTTAATTATTCAAATACTATTGACAGGGCTACTATATTTACTAGTTAGCCAACTGAGTCCTAAGGCACTATGTTTACATAAGTAGGTTAAGTAGATAGTTTGGCTTGTACAAATTATAATAATTGATAACCAAAAAAAATATGTACAATAATTAATTTTACTACCACGGTTGAGTTATTAATTTGATAGGTTTGCTACTTAAATAAATGTTGTAATCATTGAAAATCCTACATTATGTATAAGTAAATAAAATTAAAAGAGGACCTTAAAATATTTTTTTGAAAAAATTGTCACAGTTTAAAACTATACATCTTAGAACGTTAGAAGGACACCTCTAATAGTATTAATATAACTATAGTTATGTAAAAAGTAACATTATTATTGATTGTACTACATGAGGCTAATGGCTTTTTTATGGAGAGGGAGGGGAATACTTATCGAGTGTCATATATGTAATATGTATAGATAGAGGTGGAAATTCGAACGTTTCTATTGTTATAAAAAAGAACAGCTATATAAATTAGGCTAAGGAGAAAATAAATATTCAAAACACCCACAGTTATGTAATTGTGAGACCCCCACAAGTTAGTCTTATTAATTAAATTGACCGTTTTCAACAAAATGCTTGCCGTGTGGCTTTGTGACAAACGTTTGGGGAGGTATTTATGAGAAGCTCCCCCTCACCCCCCAATAATATTTTACCACATATACAACACAGAATTATTATTGTAGCACTATAGAAATTCAAACGTATGTACTATGCTTAATTGTTACAAACCCGAAATCGTTTTGTTCTTTGATACGTCTAATGTGTTTTTAATTGGCTTTTATAATAGGTATGTGTGTTTTGATCGGTACACGTCTAAGTACAATACACGTTGGTTTTGTTTTCATTTTCAGAAGTGCAAACATCTGGGCCGCGCGACAGTCGTTAAACAGCGAAACTAGTTGACAAAACATGACGACTTGCGGTAAGTACACAGTGATTATTATTGTAAAATTGACCTAATTGTGGAAAAACAAAAAAGTTACCCAATACATAGTATATAGAAATAGTTTAATGTGCATATTGGAGACAGACGGCGGCAGGTGAATTCCAGAAGGCGTGTCATCAGCGCTGTTGAATGATAATAATTCTGTTGTATATGTATATATATATAAATATATTTGGTATACACCCTGTATAATATAGTCTATGGATCGGCGCTTGTGTACTTGTTATGGGACTTATCCATGGAGGAGGAGGATATTAACGAACTATCCATTAATTATTGTTTATTCATAATCAAACGGCGACGCCGCCGCCGTCGTTTT